AATGAAATTAAACGATGTATGAGCATCAGATAGAGATTTCAACCTTTTAACTGGACAACGGGTTAGTCTCAAAAACACAGAAAGCATAATCTTACGATCTTTTTATTTTTAAACGTTTTGTGACGTTAAATTTTTGACCGATTATATATAGACGAACTTTACTAAGCGTAAGTTTTACTATTCCTAGATAGTATAAAAAGTCCGAAAGAAATTTTTTATTATCTTTTACGTCTCACTTCTATTCTAAAAGTATTCCTGGGAATATCAAAAGCTTTCACTTTTATATGTCATCAATTGTGAACTCTTTTTTAGATTTAAAAGATATTCTTTTTCTAGGTTTTTTCTATTTTTCAATTTTGTACGAAAATAAATCGTGATTTATATGCTTGATTTTTATGCAAATTAAATATTTGTAATTATTCATTACAAATGTAACATATTTGTATATATTTTTATATTCTTTTTCAATTTATTTTGAAAAGATTATGCTAATTCATAAAGAAATTAAAAAAGTAAATACTTATCGAGTAACAAATAAATTTATTGTGCTATTTGAGTTTTTTGATATTGGAAATTTGCATTTTATTTAAAATTTTATATGAAATAAAATAAAGATAATAAAATAAATAATGAGGCTATGCAATGAGTAATAAGCAATATAATCTAATATTTATTATATATCTAATATTTATTATTGCAATTAGATATAGATAAATTGAATGAATTACAGTAATAAATATTAGATATTATATTGCTCGTTACATAGCCTCATTACTTATTTTGTTTAGCAAATCAGCTTTTTGTTAAATTTATGTACTCTGATAGAAACGTATGCAATTTTTCTGGACACTTATCTAATTACTATCTAATATTACTACATTCTCATTAGTTATGTCAATACTGAGTAAGAAATAGATAAAAATTTGATAGAGTTTTATTCTGTCCATTTCATGAGCAATTGGCTTGCTTATTAATCAATTTAATCTTCATTATTTGTTGTGTTTCTATTCAGTAAATGGATCCAAATTTTACGTAACTTTTGTATGCAGTAACTGCAAACAAAGCGTTGCATCCTGATTGAAATCCTAAGTAGTTTTCCTTCTCAGTTACTAGACAGAAGTTGGTATAACTGTTTAGTAACTGCTCAAAGAATGCATAAAATTTCTGTCAGTGTGATAGAGACTTCTAAGACTCAAATTGCCCGATTAAATAGCTGATGCTTTCTGCCCGGTTAAGAGTTAACCCTTTATGAACCCGTGTAACTTTCAAATCACTAATATATTGATATTTTATGAATTTATTTAATTTTTTATCACAAAGTGGCGTATACATCTTGTTAGTGTCTTTTTAATAACCAATAACTTTTGCAAGTTGTCTGCTGAATTCATTGTTAATTTGTATTTATATGTTGATATTTATTGATTTCACGTTACATAAATTTTTTTATAGTCATGAAAAAAATTCGGCTCATAGAGAATTAAAGACTAATCGAAAAAGAGATAGGTACTTTTTTCAAATAGTTTTTTTACTGTCATTGATAAGATCAGTAACCTGATGCCTCTCTTGCCTATCTCGTTTGGATAAAATCAATTTAAATATAGTTCGTTAGCCCGACGCGTTGTTATCTCCCAGAGGAAAGAAACGCGGTTATATAGCAACGACGAGCATCGGGAACCACTGAAGAGCTGCCGAGTAACGCCGGTCGCACTATGCAAATTGAATTTACGTAATAAAATTGCGCGATTCTCCGTCGTTCCCGGTCGGAGCTCAGAGCTCGGAACTCGGAGTGTCTTCACGGAAGCGACTCTCCCCCACTGTTACAACCCTCCTCGATGGGAAGCGCTACGAGTGCAGGGGTAAACCCCAGGTGTCTGCTTCATCTCGAGTAGAGTCGTGTTACAGGGCTGCGGAGGACTGCCATGTCGGTGAGAGCAGCATTTCCTGCTCTTTGTTTTCGACGATTCGCGCGGAAAGAATTTGCTCGCAAGCCGAAGTACGAAGATTCGCGAGTCTGTTAGTCGCGTCATACCATCCGCGAAACTCATTCACAGACAAGCGGACTTGCCACTCATCGTGCGGAAATCTTTCTCAAGGGCCGCGCGCGCGCAGCCATGGCTGTAAAATTACAGAGACTGCATCAGATTCTTGGCTGAAAAGCGCACTCGCATATTTATGCGTACGTCAATCCACAAACGGAGCATGTTCTATGAAACGTTATTCGCAAAGTCGATTTTGTTTTCCCTCCCTCGAAGTATTCTCGCTGTACGTCTTTCGTAAGAGTATTACGTTAGAATATTACAAATTTTCTTGCTACGTATTGCGAAACGTTCTATCTAGTGGCTGTTGCAATGCGATATTGGCAAAACGTTATTTTGCAAGAAACGACAACTCGACGTTACTCGTTAATTATATAATCGGCGTTTAAATCATGAGACACTCTTTATTTAGTAAATTGATAACGGAACTTGCTAATACGCAGTAAAAAAACATTTTGTTTACTAAAATCGCTCATTCAAACTCTTGTTAAAATTTTATGTTGAATTGTTAATATATGCAATTATTATACTTTAACATATAATGTAATTTTTTTATGTTATTTGAATATTTTGTGTTAAATCGATATTCAACATTTCTTAGTATAAAATAACATAATTTATGAATAAACAAGTAACATAAATACAACGTATTTTAAAACGAAATTCTAAGATGAATTAATAAAATATGTGTTAACTTAACATATCATAAATTTCAATTTTATTGAAAAAAAAATAAGTCTCCACGCAACTTTCCTCCAAATTCTATCAGTGTACATTTTTTGCGATAATTATTTTATATAATATTTATATTACTTTTTAACATATATATCTTGTGTTAAAAATTTTTCCAACTGTGTAGTATATGTATATATTAATATATACTACATAGTTTGTCAAAATGAAGTAATAACTTTTTCTTCGATAATTGCCGTCTTTTTCAACCTATACACATATTATACTAAATTTATAAAAACTACACATACAGTAACAAACAACATACAGTAACTAACATACAGTAAAAACATTTTATATTTCTGTTTAAATCGATTTTTATTAAAATTGTTGATTTTTTTATACATATTCGAGTATCAGTTTATCGTACAATTATTTGAATATTTTATGTTAAATTGATATTCAATATTTCTTAAATGTTAAAATGATACAATTATGAAAATAAATAACATAAAATGACATTTTAAAACGAAAATTCTAAGATAAATGAATACATATTAATTAATACATTATATTAATTTAATATATTATAAATATTAATTTTACTGAAAAAAATATGCTTCCACACGATTTGCTATCAAACTGTCATAAAATGTTTTGTGTTAATTTTTTATATTATATAATATTTGTATTTTAACATATTCATATTACTTGTATTAAATGAACTTTTGTACAAATTTAGAAAGATCATTGAGATGCACGCGAAATGTGTTAAATTTAACACAAACTTTCCAGTTGTATACGAAAGAGAAGGCGTATCGACTATTCTTGCACCGATTATACACGTTTACAGTTCAACGAGGGCGTTCGCTTTACTTCCTCTATTACACGCGGTGCACAGTAGATGCACGTAGGTGCACGTAGGTGCACGTAGGTGCACGTAGGTGCGTCCGGAATCTGACCGGTGCAACGATTTGGAGGCAAGCCAGGGCACTCTGAATCCTGACCTGCCCCCGTATAACATTTACGTTGCATTCGTGCGATTTCCGTACTATACGAATCCGCCGGTGTACGGTAAGCGAGATGGCAAACGAGAGTCGAGAGCGCGAGCGTGAAGACCGGTTATGTGAGTGTTGCGGAAAAACGGACGAACTCAGCCGACACAACTACGTCGTCAGTCCGCAGAGCATTGTTGTTATTATACTTGCATGTATTATACTTCTGAGCATCCTGGATCCCGCGCACGTTCGTACCACACACTATCACCCGGTTTGCATTTTTCCGCTTTCAATTATACAAAATCGCAGGGACGAGCATGGAGGTGCATTTTCGTAAAACACGCGGAGGATATGTGATTAAAGCATTGCTTTTATCTTTCGAAACCTAGCGAAAGGAAATGTTCGCGACTTAAAATTACTCTGTTAAGTCAGGGGAGCAAAGGTCGAGTCGAATATTTTTCTTCTGGAGCTAACGGTGGATTTATTAAACTCACTCAATTATAAATCTCTTTAGAAAATGTCAAATAATCCAATTTTCTTTTTGTTACGTCTGCAAATTTGGATCATTTTTATTAAATATATTTAATATTCGTTCTTTTTTTGAATGAGTTTTGTCTTCCTTGAAATTAATTAGTGCTTTTTGATCTTTAGTATTCATAGCACTTTTCACGCACAGTTATTTCAAAATTCTTGTTCTTGGAAAAAAAATTAAAAAATATATCTCAGAAGTCTTAAAGTTCATTATTTTTATACATTCTTCTATCATAAGATATAATAATAAGATATAAATAAGATATAAAATGTAAATTTAACGATATACATACTATTAAAAATTATAATTATAAAAATAAACGTTTTTTGGAGTGTTCTCTGAGCATTCCACTTACTCTCTAAAACTTTTAGAATGAATTTCAATCTAAAAAGAAATTTTACTCTTAAAGATTGAAAATTGAGCCATTTTTTCTAAAATTAGCTTAACTTTCATTCTTTTAGAATATAAGATTCTATTCCAAAAAATTTAGAGAATACTTAAAAATTATATAAATTAAATGGATAATATTAACGACTGTTTTACAAATTTTGCGAATAGGGTTGAAGATACCTAACAAATCAACTCGTAGAATATAGTAATTTCAAGTCATAATTTATTTTATTGTAAGCACGCTGTCATCTTATCTTTGCCATAAATCGATTAATAAGATTTAGCCTAATAATTTTGATAAAAAGTAATTCATTAATCATCCGTATAACGAATAAAAGAAGAGAAACGAGAAACATTGAAGAATATACGTATTAATTCGACACTCTTTGCATGCGTTTCGGTTTGACGATCCGTATAATCGAATGTTTCATTCAAATTACATTTCCCATGTTTGCTTACACATATTGTGCGGAACGTGTAATCGCGGTTATTGCATAACCAATGGCGTCGGTCTGCAATATCCTTTCGCTTTCATGGTCTCCATACTGGTTTCTTCGTCAGGCCCACGTTCCTTTGTCTTCACACACACACACGACAAATTTGCAATAATACCGAGGCGGCACTTTTTTCGAGTCACTCTTCGCGAAGACTGTCGCTGCAAATGTGGGCCCACAGGAAATAACTATAGTACAACCAGAAAGGGCATTATCATTGTTAGAAATTCCTTTACATGTAAATGAAGCTCGTGGTTATGAATGAAATTAAAAGTAATGAATGATTTAATTGAAAATTAAATTACAGTAGTTACTTAAATGTAATAAACGTGTACATTAAATTTCATAAAATTTTATGAAAAGTACATTAAATTTCATGTTCGTGTACACAAATATACTTTTCAGTTATAAAGTACATTAAATTTAATGTAATGTCACGATATTAAGTTTCCCATGAAATTTTTAATAGTGTAAATGTAATTTTTAATACGTGAAAGAAAACCGTGATCATGCAGATCCTGCACTGAAAGAGCAATTTTGTTGAAGAATCTAAAATCTTTTGGCTGGATACACAATTGAAAATAATTTTTTTGGACCATAAAGATAATTTTGCAAAAATCTTAAGCAATGCTGCCAAATATTTTGATATTTTAGCAATCAATTTTGTCGTTCTACTTAATTATTTTGATAGGCTCGAAATATTTTTTTCAGATCTGTATCTAGTTAAATTTTTAGATTCTACAGCGCAAAATTGCTCTTTCAATGTGCGCACTTTGTGATTAGATTCAATGAAATATGTACAAGAAAATATGCGACAGGAACGTATCTACGTGCACATCAGACAGCTTTATAAATGTCTCTGAAAAATAAATAAGAAACTTTCCTGAATTTGATTCTGACATTAACATGGATGATCACGTGAACTCCTACGCGAAGATAAAAGATGCTAACACAATCCTACTGGTTATAATGTAGAATAATTTTATTGAATCCGTCGTAAATTATAGATCTAATATTTTTAAAATCGGTACAGAGCCATGTAAACGGACTTGCAATATTAACAATCGGAAAATGCCGTTCCGTGATAATTCCGTATACTCTGTACATCCGTTTCGGCCTAATTAAATGTTCGATATTGTAAAATTGATTATACTCTAAGTGCGGCATTGGAGATTTTATCTACTATCAATTTTCTACTATATAATCGGGCAGAAAGAGAGAAGAGGGCAAGTGCGGTCGCTCCGGTTAATTAAAGTCTGCTATTAATTAGCAAACATTATGAAATACATCTCATGCTTTTACGTATAAATGTCATAACATTTCGCATTTTTATAAAAACACAAGTTACGAGAAAAAATTACGATGATATACGGATAAATAAATTAAATACTTTAATTCAATATATTGTATGATTTAATTTTGTACAAATAATATTAAATATAACATTTTCAAATTATCAATTTCCATTATGAGCTAAAATCTAGCAAATTCAACAGTTTAAAATTCACAAGACCTCATTTCATCTAATTGCATTCCCATTCTGCGGATCAATTGTATTTCTCGATACTTTTAAAGCCAATCAATAGGTATATCATCGTACAGTTTAATTGCGAATAACGTTAAAAGGATATTTTTGATTTATTATTTTCCGTTACGAGCTAAAACTCCTACACAGAAAGAATGATTTTACTGAGTAGAGTATTTAAAAATTTATAAATTAAACACAAATCTGAAAATAATTTTGGGCTATCAAAACAATTGTATATGACGCTCAAGCTGATTGCTAGAATATCAAGCATAATAAAATTCTTCACAGCATCATTTATTATGCTTGAGTGACCTACGTAATTATTTTGGTATAATCTAATAAAAACATTTACAGAATTTATTTACTGTATCTATCTAAATTTTTAGATACCTGAGCAAAATCATTCTTTCCGTGTAACAAATCCGACGGTTCAAAAGACACAGCGTCTTATTTCGTTCGATCGTATTTCTCGTTCTCCGAGGATTACTGTCCAATTGTTTTCCCAAGTACATTTGACGCCCTTTGCGTGGAATCCTTCGCTTCAAAGTGTAATAGTATCCGAAAATTGGCGGCTGAGCACCACTGCGAGAAACTCCTTGGGCGCCCGCGCGCGTACCCGCGACCAGCGTACGGCACGCCATGCGCCAGTCTTTTACCGGAGCGAAGGGTAGAGCAGCGAAACTGCAAACCGGCGCGGCACACATTCTATTCCGTCTGCACTGGTCTGCACGACGCGCGTACAATCGTGCACACACGTGCACGCACACCGGCGCAACAGATACACCTATAACACACATACACACACACCCATCGTACCCATAGTACGCGCGGCTGCCACGCCGCGTAAGGGTGCGCTGGTATTCCCCTCGCGTCCCAACCTAACCTACGTACCCCTACTCCGTCTGGTGTCCCTTCAGCTTGAGCCGGCTCACGGCTGCCGATCCCCTATCCCCACCACTCCCCTCAGTTGGCGCCCCACCATCACAGCGTGTAGACGGCTAGAGCGCGTACAACACAGCTGCGACATATCGCCGTGCTACGGAGTACGGAGTGCGCGAGTCCCGTCGCGAGAGACGCGAGACCGCGCATCGACATCGACGCCGTCGTTCCTGTCTAGCCGGTCGGTCGGTCGGGTCGGTCGCGGTCGACCGCTAACCTAAAAATCATCGAGAGACGCCGAGAGAAGCCTTTAGCCTCTGTGGTACGATTGGTACGTCAACACGCCGCGCCGGTCGTTCTTTGTGCGTCACCGTCGCTGTCGCGCCGTCTGTACAACAGTACGAGCGCGTGATCCTTTGTCTCTTTGCCCCTGGCAGAGTAATCGGTGTTCCTTTCCTCGTGTGTACGTTCGTACCTGCCTTAACCTACCGCGACCTTGAACTTGTGTGCCTGTGCCTGTACCTGTACCTGTACCTGTACCTGTACCTGTACCTGTACCTGTACCTGTACCTTCCGCCAGGCCGATCGCCCTCTCTCGAGTCTCGAGACGGCACCGAGGGTGGGAGTACGAGGGAGAAAAAGTGGGTGAGAGAGAGGAAGAGACGACGAGCGAGGGAGCCGGCGACGTCGGGATCCTGGAAGTTAACGAGGATGTTCTCCTACGCGACCTTCCCGACAATGGGGTAAGATACACATTCGAGCTTCTCTTTACTACCCTCTCCTTTCCTCCACCGAGTGTTTCTGAAAACATTTCAGGAAACGTGATCTCACTCGCGAAAATCCGGTTGTTGCGTCTGTTTTCCCGATGACTCGAATCGTCCTCGGCGACGTTGTTTTTTTTTTCCCACGTGGTGTTTTTCAGGCAGGAGTGAGTGTTTTCGGCGCTGTGAAAACATCCGCCTGCATCTTTCAACACGACCGCGAAGAAACACTCGCATCCCGACGACGCCGTTTTTATCTTGTTCCGGAACAATGGACCGCCTCCCGCCGGACGTCCCGAGAGCGTGATTCTGATTCAGGTGAGGAAGGACGATGGCATCTCGTGAGGAACCACCGAACGAGAGCTGTGCTGTATAAGTTTCTAAGGCGAAACGTAGCTGCCTGCCGTGCCGTTTTCCTTGAATTCCCTCTCGACCTTTGGTCGGTTTGTTTTTGTCACGCTCTCGGTACTTCTGCGATCCTCGCTTTGTGTATGTATCCGCTCGACATATTTCGCTAAACTCGTATTTCTTTCGAAAGTGATACGTTAAACGTCGCAAATATGTCCCGTTACTAAACCTTCATAAGTAGACTTACACCGTTCGGATAGTTAAGAGAAAATTAAGCTTGTAAGATGTTTATGATAAAAGGTTCATCTATAATGGGAGTAATATGGTGTAGTAAGAAATTGACCAATCTCATAGTTGAACATAATGAGAATAATCGATTGTGATTGGTCAATTTTTTACAGCTTATTGCTTACTACGCAATATTACTTCTATTGTAGACGATCCAAAATGTAACGTAATATACAATCGTCGTCTGCAATATACAAAGTAAGCTTAATGTAAAAAGTAAGAGTAAGAGATTGATCAATTACAATATGAGAAAAATCGATTGTAATTAGTAAATTTCTTACTTGCTTCTTACTAAGCTTAGTCTACATTGTAGACGACGACGCATTATATTCGAAGTCAACATCGACATCAATCAATTATTAGAGATAATCAAGATTGATGCTTGCTAAATATCAGCTGTCGTCAAACATCCGTACTTGTACGCATTTCTTCACGCATTTCCTGCGAAGATATTAATCGATAGAACTGTCTATTTTCACTAATGCAAATTAGAGTTCTAAAACGGAGTTTCTATCCTGATTTTCTAATTCTTAACGACAGTTGGGTATTTATGCTGTTATTGCGCAATTTTTTAACTTACGCCACGAGAATATAACGACACCGACTGTTGAAGAACTGTGTAAGAGAATCGATTGGCCACGAACGATTTTATCAAAATACAAAAGAGAAAGATGCAAATATATATATATATATATATATATATATATACTTTTTTCCTGTATATACTTATATATATATTATATTATCTTACTTTAAATTATACTGTCCTACTTTCCTTTAGAAACGACAATGTCGACAAGTTTAATGACACTTGATTCTGTCTTTATTATTTATTGAATGCTAAGAAGGATAGAATGATGTTTGTTTCGACTCGTGTTATTAGGGATGCGTTTGATTTGGTGCTCATAATGCCCGTAAACATTATTTCTCCTTTAACATTTGATAAAAATAACAAGGATAAAATGATTTCATAAGCTTTGCGAGCGTCAACGCACTCTAAATGGAAAATATTCATCGCTCTATAATTATCTTCAATTAAGATTATGGAGTGAAGTGTGTGGTATAAATTAGAGTGAGATAATATGTATACAGGAAGAAAGTAGATATGTATATCTTTTTTTCTCTTTCGTAGGATTTTGACAACAAAATCTCTTGTGACTAGATTCTTATAGAGTTTTGAATGTAGATTAACATTAGAACCATGTCATTTTGACTTCGTTAATTATTTCAGTTTTTTTTTTGTTTGCTTATATTAAATATAGAGTATAGAATACTGAAAATATATGAATATCAAACAAATACTTTTAACGATACAAATAATATCAAAATAATTCTTCACTAACCTCAACAATGATAAATATTGGCACCTTCGACAGGGATAGGAGAGACCGCTAATAAACTCATTTTTCAATTTCGAATTTTTACAGACGAAATTAAGAAACTTATCGAAAAAATGAATTCTATACCAGTTGCATACATTTGACTACCTAATAATATTTTAATAATAAGGGGAAACTGATAGCTAATATGAAAAAATGCATTTTTCTAATGTATAAAATGCATTCCATTTGATTCAACTAGCCTCGAGATCGGGGTAATTCAACTAAAATTATTAAAATAAAAAGATTAATATTAAAGATTAATATATTTTAAGCTACATTTTTGGTTACATATTAATAAAATTTTTACAAAAATGTATTTTAAATACAAATATTCGCTTCGCAAAGCAAAACAATGCTTCTTTTTACAAAATTTGTTCATTTCGTGCAAAAACACGTCGAATGAGTCTAATTTTCGAGATTGGACATGAGGGAACGAAACTTATAACACTTACCACTGAGGAAAGTCTCTTTAAAGGAAAAAATTTTGAATAAGTACTAAGAGTCGTCACTAAATGAGTCATACAGTTCCATGCTGTGGTTAGTCTATTATCCTCCTCCCTCATCCGTTTTTTAAAAACATTAACAATATACGATAACAAAGACACGTAAACAAAAAAAATCTGTTGAACTTTATTAATAGCGTTTTCTCTTGGCCGCATTATCGCCAATCAGTGCAACACTCAGACAGTGTAGCATGTTTTCTTGGCTTGGTGGTAGCCGAATTCATTCAGTGTAATGTATTTTCATGGCTATATAGTGTAGTGCAAATTTTATGCACGAAGTGAGATTTTGCTACACGATCTCAAAGAGATGTATGATATTAAAAATTTGAAAATAGAAGTCAACCGAATTAAACATAACAGAATTAAACACGATATAGCATGAAATAATGTACACCATGGTGTATGTACACTTGTATAGTGCAGCACTGATGCAGCACTTACACGCAACTGGTGTAGTACGAAGTTACACTCAGTGTATCCCAAGAGAAAACGCTATAAGTAAGAACTACATTTACTATCTAAGTAGAAATCAAATATTTCACAATCATATACGATTGTAAAACAAAAACTTTAAGAATAAAAACATTTACTTAGGTGTATGAATTTTTAAAGTTGTGGCACAACTTCTATCATAGATAGTGTTCGCAACAAGATGTTACAGCAGACTTAGCGATAGTCGCTGCTGCGTGCTCAGATACGTTTACGCGTGTCTCGCGTGTTTTGTTTTTAATGTAGATTCTTCGATTATTCTACCTATCCCTATAGTCGATTGATTCCTGTCTCCCCTACCATCAGCGGTATCAGTTCTATTAACTTTAATCTTGGTTCAATTTTCTCTTCATCTTTTTATAATTCTTAGAATTAGGACAAGAAGAATAAATTGAATGAAATCGAAGTTAATTTACATTGATGAAAAACGGGCAAGATAGAAATAATTTTCATCGATATCCGGTGATGTGCTCCATCGAGAAAGGGAACGATTTATTGACGGGAGCATATTAATGACACTAGAGACAAGTTCAGCCTTCGCTTGCTTCTTTCAGCTCTCATTTACCTCGCAAACGTTCGATCGTTCCTTTAAATTCTTTTCTTTTGTCCTTCCCCTCATGCACGATTTCTGCGTTTTTTTTTTCGCATGATCGGTCGCTTTTCCGGCGACGCCTCGCGCGTATCTCGTAGACAACAAATCGCGTTTAAATCGATTCGACAAAAGGGTTGGAATCAAACCGTCAGTCGTCACACCGATCTCTATGCAAGGGATAAAAAGAGAGGAAGGGAAAAAAGCGCGATGGACGGCGATCGCGTTATCTCTCTCTCTCTCTCTCTCTCCCCCTCTCCCTCTCTCTCTCTCCTCCGATTCTTTCCTTTGAAAAGCTTCCTACGTTGTCCTGGCAACGAGATGCCGTGTCGTGGCGGGGCAAAGAATACGAGACGACGAGCTGTCACGATCACGTTAGGTTAGGTTAGATTAGGTTAGCTTAGGTCGGCAACTCCTTCGTCTCTTCCTCTTTCTATCTCTTACCTCCTCCTCCTTCCCCCCTTTCCCCCTTCCTCCTCCACTGGCGAGATCGGGTCGTCATAGCGACGTCAAAACAAGACGCTGAAAATCCAGCGATGCACGGAAAATCTTGACGATTACACGTCAATCTTGCAAACATTTCTTTAATATTTTATCATAAGTTCGTCCGTAAGAAACACTTTATAAAAAGAATTTTATTGAAGTATCTAAATATTTATCTAGATATAGGTTTGTGAAAAGTAATTTTATTCGACTATCAAAATATGTTGGATGATCTAACATGATGATAATGCTGCAAAAGTTTTGACATCAAATTAAGCATCCCATACACTAAAAAACATTTTATATTTATGAGGATCATCCATTCAAGTCCTTGTTGAACTTTTGTATTGAATTTTTAACATATTCAAATGTTGATTTGTCATAACATGTTATTTAAATATTTTGTTAAATTGATATTCAACATTTTCTAGTGCCAAAACAACATAATTGACAACATTTATGATAAGCGAATAAATAAAAATGTGTATTTTAAAATAAATTCTAAGATGAATGAATAAAATGCGTATTACTTTAACATATGATAAATATTAATTTTACTGAAAAAAATATGCTTCCACAGTTTGCTAACAAATTAGTTGTTAGTGTTACTTTTTTATTAATTTTTTTGCGTAATATTTATGTTATTTTGAAACATATTTATCTTATGTACAATTAACACAAAAATTTAATCCGTTTGGAATGAACCGTTTGGGATATGTAAAATGTGTTAAATTTAACACATATTTTCCAATTATACGTAACAGTTTTGATAAATTATTTTGACTCAATAAAATTATTTTCAGATCTACATCTAGTTAAATTTTTAAATACATTAGTAACATCGTTCTTTCTTTCATAGATTTGCTGGCTCCATATTAATGCCTGTTTCTATTA